CGTATGAAACTATAGACTTATTATTTTGACTTCACAAACATCTAATTTGAACCAGTGCTGCATTCAACATACCACGTGACACATAAGAATTGATGTTTATCTGTGTTTTCTAATATTTGGTTGTAAATTAAGAAATTGAGTAATATATAGTACCAAAATTGGAATTATAATCTACAGTTTGATATCAAACTTATTGACATAACTTCATGAAATAGTAGTTCAATAAAAGTTTGAATGCGAGTCAACAAACAAGATGAAATGACCTTTCACCCGTGATCCGTCTCGAAAGGGATAATGAAGAGTTTGTTCTTTTGGCTTTGGGCACCTGGGCTTGACCACAGGGTTTTATTTTATGAAGTGACTGGAAATTCATTTTCACTTTATTCACTGTGAACTGCAATATTGTAAGTTACCTGGCAGTTTCTTGCTGACTTTCACCTCCCTCCCATAGTCCAGCTATGCAACCTAATGAAAATATAGTTAGATCCTGGGATCCTTTCATTCAAGGAATGACTGCTTGTATTCTGCAGTTTTTATCAAGCTGTACTTTTATATATACAATAGGGCTATTTGTGTATGATATCGTGGAGACAGCCAATTTGTATTCTCAAGGTTGTTTACTTATTTATTGGTAGGCTGAGTAAATTTGTTTTATAATTAAATATTTAGTGCATAATTAACTTGATGTTTTCTTCACTATTTCTCTTCAAAAAATCAGATAAAAGACTTATTACATTATTTGTATCCCCTCCCATCTTGATTAGGTTTCTGTGATCATGGTGAGAAAAAAAAATATATTATTTCTTAAAGCTTATGTTGATATAACTATATTAACATTTGAAACATTTACTGAGCACATATACAAAGATTAATTTGCATTGTAGCTGTAGCTACTTTGTTCAGATTATATCTTTAAGAATCAAAATAAATTTATTGTTGTGATGTAAAAAAATATTGACCTTAGTTGCATTTAATTCTCGTATCAAGTTAAATACAATTCAAAAGTTTTGTTTAATCAAACATTAAAAAAAAAGTTAGTAGATGAGGGCAAATTTTATGCACTGTTCAGTTATATTATTTTAGTTTAAAAACTTCTATTACATTTTGTTTGTTGTTTCTTGCCTGGATATGTATTCCTTTGGGAAAATTTCAAGTATATTTTTGTTAATCTGTTTAGTGGATAATTAATCAACCTTATTCAGTGCTGGTATATTCAAGTAAATTTTGACAGTTTCTTAGACAATCTATCTATATATATATATATATATATATATATATATATATATATATATATA